ATGTAGGTTCCCCTTGATCCCTCGTTGTGTATGTTATATTTTGAGACTGATCATAAAAACAAAATGGATTAAAAGAAGAACTAAACAGATCTTTCTCATATTGCAATGATCGATTCTATTTCTTTCACATTAAGTACTGTACTAGTAAATATGTGAAATGACACATTCACTTTGAAGGTTGGCTTTCATACACATCAGTATTAAGTTTAGATCAAAAGTTACCTCAAGGTGCATTTACTGTTAACATGACTTGATCAAACAGATTAGAGGAAAGAAGAGAAAAGATCGAACTGACAAAGAACTAATGAAGATGGTACAATGGTGGGTGCCAAGATCCCTCTGGGATCTATTGTTTTTCATGGCAGCATCATTTTTAGGTCACCTAAGCTTTAGCACAAGTGTCCTATTGCTATCTGTCTTTGTCTGTCGTCGTCCGTCGTTCGTTAACATTTAAAATTTTCAACTTAAGCTGAAATACTGGCGAAGGTATTTCATTGATATTTCATGGAAATGTTACTGACATAATCTCCCTGACCAAGTGTTATTTTTCGGGTCGATCAGGAATCCAATATAGCCACGATTTTGAAAAACTATTTCAAACTTAAAAGTTCTGCTGGGCTGATATAACTGAAACTTGGTAGGAATGATAAACTCATGGTACTGACAAAGTGATGTTATTTTTTGGGTCGATCAGAAATCCAATATGGCTGTTTGCCACGGCCGCCATTTTGAAAAAGTATTTCAATATTAATTAAAAAGTCAAGTTCTGCTAGGCCGATTGAACTGAAATTTTGTAGGAATGATCGACTCATGGTCCTGACAAAGTGTTGTTTTTAATTGGGTTGATCAGAAATCCAATATGGCTGCCACAGTAGCCATTTTGAAAAATTATTTCAAACTTAAAGGGAAGTTCTACAGGGCCGATTTAACTGAAACTTGGTAGGAATGATTGACTCATGGTCCTGACAAAGTGTTGTTATTTTTCAGGTCGATCCAAATTCTAAAATGGCAGCCATTATGAAAAACTATTTCAAACTTAAAGTCAAGTTCTACTGCGCCGATTTAACTGAAACTTTGTAGGAATGATCAACTCTTGATCCTGACAAAGTGTTGTTATTTTTCGAGTCGATCAGAAAACCAATTTGGCTGTCACGGCCGCTATTTCGAAAAATAATTATTTCAAACTTAAAATCAAGTTCTAATTGGCTGATTTAACTGAAACTCTGTCTAGGAATGATTAGCTCATGGTCCTGACAAACTTAAATTGAAGTTATACTTAACTATTCTTTACTCAAATTGGTACATATTTCAACAACAAAAATATATATTGTAGGATTCAGGTGACCGTTAAGGCCCATGGGCCTCTTGTTGAACATAGCAAAAGTTTAGCTTCAGAATACTGGAAACATATATAAAGAGATCAGGCCTGTATGATCCCTCTCCTCTTTCAGTATGTTTTTTGTTTGTTTGTGTGGAGCATCCCTGGGCCTAGGGGATCACTGTACAATAGAAACAATGGTATGACCTTCATTGGAGCAGACATTTGGGAACTTAAAGAAAAATGACGGTTAAGCTTTAAATTGGCTATTCTTTTTCTGCACTGGTGAAAAGATTTAATCAATGTTGGTCTGGAGCATACTTGGGCTAATGTTGAACATTGTATACACGATTAAAAGGCCATGTTTAGATGTGAGGTACTATTTTTTGTCACATCACCACATAAAACAGTTGATGACTATTATAGGCCTATGGGCCACAAGTTAAAATCCTAGATACCATTAATGGGCAAGAAGAGACAAATACATCCATGCTACCTTCTTGGAATCTGACCTTAGGTATGGTGACCAGCTCACTGGGTATCCCCACCTTTTAATGATAGATACCATTTCTGGGCAAGAAGAGACAAATTCATCCGTGCTACCTTCTCGGAATCTGACCTTAGGTATGGTGACCAGGTCACTGGGTATCCCCATCCTTTAATGATAGACACCATTGCTGGGCATGAAGAGACAAATACATCCATGCTACCTTCTTGGATTCTGACCTTGTGTATGGTGACCAGGTCAGATTCCAAGAAGGGAGCATGGATGTATTTGTATCTTCATGCCCAGCAATTGTATCTATCATTAAAGGGGGGGGATACCCAGTGACCTTGTCACCATACCCAAGGTCAGATTCCGAGAAGGGAGCACGGATGAATTTGTCTCTTCTTGCCCAGAAATGGTCTCTATCATTAAAAGGTGGGGATACCCAGTGACCTTAGGTATGGTGACCAGGTCACTGGGTATCCCCACCTTTTAATGATAGATACCATTGCTGGGCATGAAGAGACAAATATATCCATGCTACCTTCTTGGAATCTGACCTTGTGTATGGTGACCAGGTCACTGGGTATCCCCACCCTTTAATGATAGATACCATTGCTGGGCATGACGAGACAAATACATCCATGCTACCTTCTTGGAATCTGACCTTGGGTATGGTGACCAGGTCACTGGGTATCCCCATCCTTTAATGAAAGGTATCTTTGCTGGGCTTGAAGGAAATACACTCATGTTACTTTGATTTCCCTTGTGACCTTGCAGAGCCCTGGGGAGTTTGTCCTTTTTGACGGATTTGGAAAAACCTGCGGAGTGAAGACAATTAAAGCACTCCAAAATGATGCAATAACTATACAATGTTTTTACATTTTTTTCAGAGTCTCATTTGTATAAAGGAAATGATACCAAAACAACTGGTTTTTATCTTGGTGAGGGCCTGGGAGAGAACCACACTGTTTCTCTAGTGTTTAGGGCTAAGGACGCTTACAATGCAGCTACAGACATAGACCTTTCTGTTGAGGTAAAGTATAAACAAAGGCAGTTCATTCTCCTGCAACAAAGTTAAAGGTGAATCAACTTGTCCATCTGTCTGTCTGTAGACAACATCCCTCCTCCATAGCTACTAATCTATTTTGATGAGACTTGGTGATGTACACATGCACGCTAAGTTAATCATGTAGTTGGTAATGTTAGTGGTTTTGTAAGACAATTTGGACTGAAAGTAACATGGTTTTGTAAGTCAATTCGGACTAAAGGTATCATGGTTTTGGGAGCGTCTGGTAATGTCTGTCTGTCATCACTTTGGACTGAAGGTATCATGGTTTTGTAAGTCAATTCGGACTAAAGGTATCATGGTTTTGGGATCGTCTGGTAATGTCTGTCTGTCATCACTTTGGACTGAAGGTATCATGGTTTTGGGAGCGTCTGGTAATGTCTGTCAACAATTTGGACTGAAGGTATCATGGTTTTGGGAGCGTCTGGTAACGTTTGTCTGTCATCACTTTGGTTTCTTCAAGATAACTTGATTAAATATCATTTCTTTTATTCCTATCCTTTATATCTGTCACATGGGGTGTTCGTTTGTCTGTAATGCTTGTCCACAGATCATACAAAGTTCAACATTGTTGCTAAAAATTGAGTTTTCCATTTATTTGCTTGTCTTGAGGATAACATACTTAATATACAGAATTATCACACTTATCTAAAACTTTGGTGTTTTGCGGCCCTTACCCTAGCAGATGCAAGGAATCTTGGGGGATGGGGGTCAGCCACATGGCGGGAGTCTTTTTGACCTGCCGGTAGTCTAGTTGAAAACTTACAATGCAAGCTTTCGAAATATCTATTATCTTTGAAAACAGATGTCTTCAAAAACAACTCCCTAAGCCACAATGTGCTGAGTCGATAGAGTCACTTGTCAGAAATTATCGGGATATTTAACCAAAAAGCACTCAAATACTACAGGCATGCAGTCAGAGGAACTGGTACCTATTCTACCCTTTAATGGATGTTAAATGGGGTCATAAACATGACTAATTTGGCCCCCTCATCTCTATTCAAGGATTCCTCTTCCCTTCTAACCCAGATTGATTCCTTGATTTTCCTCACTTTCAAGTTGTCCTCCCTTTCAAGTACTTTACAGTTTTTCCAGGCTATGATGTGGTTGTGTATGTTAGCATGGTCTGTAATGGCTAAACTTTGTATTGTTTCTCGTTGTATTTCTAGTTTAATGTTGCTGTTTCATGGTTTCTATGTCTTTTGTTGTTCTTTTAGGCGTGTCCCATTAAATTTCCGGACAGTTCCCCTTTCTTCAGCAATTTGTCTTTCAGATGAACTAATAGTTGTTGGATGGTGTTGCTGATGTGATGTTTGCGCAAAACTCTTGAATGTGCTTCAGACACCCCTTTTATGTATAGTGACAATGCATGCCAGTTATTTATAAATTCTCAAAAATATCTTTGGTTTTCATAGTTCAAGTTGAATACCATAGCCTATTATGGGCAAAGAGGGTTATCCCTATTTTCTTTCAAATAAAGGGAGACATTTTGTATTAGCACTGGTTATCTTCTTCTGGTTCTTCTAATCGCAACTTGTCCTGGCCATAAATTTTAAACCTTTAAAGATATCTTGATGAAACTTGAGGTATGCATTCATCACCCACAGAAGGTGTGCAGTGTACTAGAATTAGATCACTGACTTTTACCTCAAGGTAAAGGGTCAAATCAGTACAACATTTACAGTAAATTCATGTCCGGCTCATCAATTTTAAACCGTTAAAGATATCTTGATCAAACTTGAAGTATACCTGTATTACCAACAAACTTACCATATTTATATATCTTGGGAAGGCGGAATCTCTTACACTAAAATCGGGTCTTGTGCCCCACAGTATAAGTTCCATGTTATTATAGTCCCCCACCGTGAACTGGGGGAGGACTATAGTTTTGTGTCATGGTTGTCCGAACTTCTGCTATCTTGTCCAGGCTCTATCTTCTACACTACTTGTCACTGGAACTTCATACCTGGTGTATGGGTTCACCTTAGTGAGGCGGTGTGTCATGTATCAAAATAGGTCATTCTGTTTTTATCCCCCCACTTTCACCGAAATGGGGGATATTAATTTGGGTTTGTCTGTCTGTCTGTCTGTCACGCTTCGTTTCCGTGCAATAACTTAAACAAATGTTAACCAATTTTCTTCAAACTTGGTCACAGGTTTAAATGCCTTAAGGGCTCGGCCAAGTTCGATGACCAATAGCAGACCCCGTTTGGCGGAGTTATGGCCTCTTGAATAATGAAAAACCTCATTATCTGCCGTTTCTGTTCATTAACTCTGGCAAATATTATCCGATTGTCTTCAAGCTGAGTAACAGAGTCAATGCATTAAGTGCTCGGCCAAGTTTGACAACCACCCTTATTGGACTTTATTTGGCAGAGTTATGGACTTATGGATTAACGAAAAAAGTCATTATCTGCAGTTTCCACTTAATAACTCTAGCAAATTCCTTCGAACTTGATGACAATGTTTGTGTTCCTCTGTCTTTCCACCCATCTCGGGCACTCTTAGCTTTTCGTGTGATAGTTGCTGTAGATGCTGTAAGATGTTTCAACCAAATTCAAAATGCATATTCACCTCATGCTAAGTCTCCCAATCGATGTGATTTGTGCATATTTACGGATAATCACTGAGGTATAGGTTTTTTTTCCTTCAAGTTTCAAGCTATACATTATGTCTCAGAAGCACGATACTCACATGTTTAAACCTAACCTCAATAATGTTAACCTACAATATGTCCTGCAAGCGTGCGATATAAATTCCACGAATTAATTATTTGCTTGTTGACCTTTGACCTGCATCAAGGAAAAAGCTTGTCCGGGTTCTGTTTCCTACACTAGTTTATTAAGAATTTATCATCTGTGCATGCTTGGCATATATTTTCATATCCGATGGGGGACTGTAATTCGCCGAATTGTCTAATTATTTCACCTAGGTTGGCCAAACTTGCTGTAGTTATATATATTGGGAAGTAGGAGTGTCACATTCTGAATTTGGGTCTCATATGCCCTACTTTATAAATAAATATAGTCCTTTGTTAATTTCTAAGCCGCTCTTGGCGAGAGTCGAGCAGCTTATTAATTCTGTCCAGAGAACGAAATGACGGACCCACTTTCGTTCGGGGTGCGTGCGCATAATTCAGTCTTGCATGCTTCCGCTATATAGTTTCGTTATCGTAAATAGAAAAGTAGAATCTCTGATACTCACCTGTGGGTAACATAACGGTTTCTGATGCTCTTCTCCAAATAATAATCCATACTTTAAATAATTGCATTCTACGAGTGTTGTGGTGGTTAAATTCGTGCACTGGGTTTGAGCGTTTTAGCAACTCTGATTGAGGTCTGAGGAGTGTTACGCGTGTGAAACATATATATGATTCGAGAAAGCACATGTGAAGACTGTCAAGCATTGACGCTGTCTGCAGAATTAAGAAATATATATATATATATATATACTTATAAACCGTATGAGTGATGAAGTATAACCTTTATTTTGATGTTTCAAACGGGAACGTACTATGACATATCTTGCTTAGTTTGAAAAAGGTAATGGTACTGAGACGAGACGATATGTGAACCGTGTATGCTTATCAAACATTTCTGTAACCCAGCATGCTTTTTCTGGTGTATTTATTTATGAAAATGTAACAATTTAAGAACATGACACAACTGCTGCTGCTGTTTGACAAGAATTTGCGACGTGTCAAAATGTTATCCAATCCGGTGTAAGGGAAATAACTCTTACGTTGGTAAAGTCGCATTGAGAACATTTGTGAGATTTTGTATATTCAATGACAGTAAATAAAGTCAATACATATATTAATAATTATTATTAATATGAATAAAAAATAAATAAAAATAAAATACAATGTCTCTTTTCTTCATGTGTAACGTGCAACCCCTGGTAGCGTGTGTGCACCGTGTGAATCTCAATTATGACCGAGCTATCTGCTCTAGAAGCGATTGGGTTCCTCGGCTACCTGGCCGAGCAGTTGAACAATAACACTTAACAATATCAACAATATTTATAAATGAATACACATGTGGGCCAGAACAGTACCTCTGTCCTATCAACCCGTGCTGTCGAACCACGACACACGTCGCCTGGACGTACACAATCTCTCCAACCAGCAAATCAGAATGCTGACACTCCCAGCTCCAGGTATGGCCTTGCTACCCGAGCTGATCACTGACAGTCCCCAGGTACCCTGTCACCGAGCTGATCACTGGCAGCTCCGAGGCAACCTGTCACTGTCCACCACAGCACACAAGTACCAGATCAGCTGCGATCACGTACCATACTTGCCACTGAACACAACGTACAAAATAGCCACCAGAGTAGCCTTTGCAGGCAACCCCTTATGCACGAGCTTCTGGTATAGTATATTGCAGAGGTGTTCTTACCTTGTTCTGCTGTCTAGAATGTCTCTTGATATACTCTGTAGTTTTAATACAGCCAACCCCAAACCACTGGCATAAGCCTGCTTATATGTGGAAACCATTTTCAGGAACTCAAGGTACCAGGTCATTTGCATAATAATCACATTTATTCATTTATCAATAAGTATCCTACAACATACATGTATACAGAAATATGTCATATCCATTCCAAGTAATTAATAAAAGATTCTGGTAATATTGATTTTGATCAAACTTCGCTAATCATCAGTAATAAAGAGAAATCAATACAAATTTAGATTCCAAGAACGTTTACTTAACGTTTGTTCAAAGGGGAATCACTCTACCGAAAATCACATAATCATCACACATGCATGTTTTACCACTACTGTTAATTATCCTTCATTTAACAAGCACAAAATGCACCGATTGCCATTCTGCACGTAAATTCTCATGTCACATCATTGGAGGATGCTAAAGAATGAAAATTACAACAATGCGTCGCACTTAAAGAGGGTGAAAAAAGGGGAGAAGGAGAATGTTTTTAAGGCATCATTTAAGAGGTGATTGATTTTGGAACATTATCAAATGACCTGATTTTCAATTAGCAGAATACAGAACAAATATCTGAGGTATTATAGTAGATATTGATGCTGCAATGTGTTACTGAAGCAATTAAATTTAAAGTGGTGAGCGCCTTTAACGTCACACTGACATAGTTCTAGTTTATACTGAAGTTTGTCTATTGGCTAATAGGGGGAGACTTGAACAAAAACAAGTTTCTAGTTAATGGTTTGAAATACTGAAGCATTTCATTAATAACAAATATTTTTAAACACATGGTCTGTCATCAATCCATCTGAGCGTTTGTCAACCATCAACAATTTCTTTAAACAACTTCTTTTACTGATTGCAATTTATCGAGATTTGACTGCAAGCATCCCTATATTTACTGTGGATCAAAATTGTACAAATAGCTATAGTAAGGTTAACCCTCTCAGGAGGCTGTGTACACTTGTATATCACCACATTCAAAACTCTCTGAAACTAAATCTTAAGGTGATAGTAATATCTACCAATTCTGATCTGGTCTAAAACTTCCAATAGGTCGCAGATATATTGAACTCTGTAGATTGCAGGTATTTTGAAATTTCTCTGTTGCAGGTATTCTAATCTAATTGAAATTTCGGTATTGCCATCAGAGTTGATAAGTTATTTGCTTGACCAAAAATTGTAGAAAATGAGTAATTGTGAGTGTAACATTAAAATTATAAAGAAATTAAAAAAAGGATTTTTTTTAGTATTATTTTTGTTTTAATTTGTACAGGTACTACCTTACAGCTACTCAGATACTGGTGAAGACATCCTTGATTTTGTGCTGAGCACTTTTCTATCAGGAGAAACAGGTATTCTAGATCTGCAGGGTGATAGTCACCTTGTTTATTGGGTAGTTATTATTTAGGGGTGATTGTTGTTCTGATCAACAGTCATCCTACATTGTGGGGTGATTGTTGTTCTGTTGAACAGTAATCCTACATTGTGGGGTAAATGTTGTTCTGTTGAACAGTCCTCCTACATTGTGGGGTGGTGGTTGTTCTGTTGAACAGTCATCCTACATTGTGGGGTGATTGTTGTTCTGTTGAACAGTCATCCTACATTGTGGGGTGGTGGTTGTTCTGTTGAACAGTCATCCTACATTGTGGGGTGATTGTTGTGGGGTGATTGTTGTTCTGTTGAACAGCCATCCTACATTGTGGGGTGATTGTTGTTCTGTTGATCGGTCATTCTCCATTGTGGGGTGATTGTTGTTCTGTTGAAGAGTCATCCTACATTGTGGGGTGATTGTTGAACAGTCATCCTTCATTGTGGGGTAATTGTTGTTCTGTTGACCAGTTATCCTACATTGAGGGGTGATTGTTGTTCTGTTGAACAGTCATGCAACATTGTGGGGTAAATGTTGTTCTGTTGAACAGTCGTCCTACATTGTGGGGTGATTGTTCTGTTGAACAGTCATTCTACATTGTGGGGTGATTGTTGTTCTGTTGAGCGGTCATTCTACATTGTGGGGTGATTGTTCTGTTGAACAGTCATTCTACATTGTGGGGTGATTGTTGTTCTGTTGAACGGTCATCCTACATTGTGGGGTGATTGTTGTTCTGTTGAACGGTCATCCTACATTGTGGGGTAAATGTTGTTACATTGTGGGGTGATTATTGACATGTTGAACGGTCATCCTACATTGTGGGGTAAATGTTTTTCTGTTGAACAGTCGTCCTACATTGTGGGTTGATTGTTCTGTTGAACGGTTATCCTACATTGTGGGGTGATTGTTATTCTGTTGAACAGTTATCCTACATTGTGGGGGGATTGTTGTTCTGTTGAAGGAACATCCTACATTGGGCGGTGATTGTTGTTCTGTTGAACAGTCATCCTACCTTGTGGGGTGATTGTTGTTCTGTTGAACAGCCATCCTACATTGTGGGGTGATTGTTGTTCTGTTGAACAGTAATCCTACATTGTGGGGTAAATGTTGTTCTGTTGAACAGCCATCCTACATTGTGGGGTGATTGTTGTTCTGTTGAGCGGTCATTCTACATTGTGGGGTGATTGTTCTGTTGAACGGTCATCCTACATTGTGGGGTAAATGTTGTTACATTGTGGGGTGATTATTGACATGTTGGACAGTCATCCTACATTGTGGGGTGATTATTCACATGTTGAACAGTCATCCTACATTGTGGTGTGATTATTGACATGTTGAACAGTCATCCTACATTGTTGGGTGATTGTTGACATGTTAAATGGTCATACTACATTGTGGGATGATTGTTGTTCTGTTGAACAGTTGGGGTGATTGTTGTTCTGTTGAACAGTCCTCCTTCATTGTGGGGTGATTGTTGTTCTGTTGAAGAGTCATCTTACATTGTAGGATGATTGTTGTTCTGTTGAACAGTCATCCTTCATTGTAGGGTGATTGTTGTTCTGTTGAACAGTCATCCAACATTGTGGGGTAAATGTTGTTCTGTTGAACAGCCATCCTACATTGTGGGGTGATTGTTGTTCTGTTGAAGAGTCATCTTACATTGTAGGGTGATTGTTGTTCTGTTGAACAGACATCCTACATTGTGGGGAGATTGTTGACATGTAAAACAGTCATCCTACATTGTTGGGTGATTGTTGACATGTTAAATGGTCATCCTCCATTGTGGGATGATTGTTGTTCTGTTGAACAGTCATCCTTCATTGTGGGGAAATTGTTGTTCTGTTGAACAGACATCCTTCATTGTGGGGTAATTGTTGTTCTGTTGACCAGTTATCCTACATTGAGGGGTGATTGTTGTTCTGTTGAACAGTCGCCCTACATTGTGGGGTGATTGTTTCATGTTGAAAAGTCATCCTACATTGTGGGGTGATTGTTGGCATGTAGAACAGTCATCCTACATTGTTGGGTGATTGTTGACATGTTAAATGGTCATACTACATTGTGGGATGATTGTTGTTCTGTTGAACAGTTGGGGTGATTGTTGTTCTGTTGAACAGTCATGCAACATTGTGGGGTAAATGTTGTTCTGTTGAACAGTCATCCTACATTGTGGTCATCCTACATTGTGGGGTGGTGGTTGTTCTGTTGAACAGTCATCCTACATTGTGTGGTAAATGTTGTTCTGTTGAACAGTCATCCTTCATTGTGGGGTGATTGTTTTTCTGTTGAACAGTCATCCTACATTGTGGTGTGATTGTTGTTCTGTTGAACAGTCATCCTTCATTGAAGGGTGATTGTTGTTCTGTTGAACAGTCATCTTACATTGTAGGGTGATTGTTGTTCTGTTGAACAGTCATCCTACGTTGTGGGGTGGTGGTTGTTCTGTTGAACAGTCATCCTACATTGCGGGGTGGTGGTTGTTCTGTTGAACAGTCATCCTACATTGCGGGGTGGTGGTTGTTCTGTTGAACAGTCATCCTACATTGCGGGGTGGTGGTTGTTCTGTTGAACAGTCATCCTACATTGTTGGGTGATTGTTGTTCTGTTGAACAGTCATGCAACATTGTGGGGTAAATGTTGTTCTGTTGAACAGCCATCCTACATTGTGGGGTGATTGTTGTTCTGTTGAAGAGTCATCTTACATTGTAGGATGATTGTTGTTCTGTTGAACAGTCATCCTTCATTGTAGGGTGATTGTTGTTCTGTTGAACAGACATCCTACATTGTGGGGAGATTGTTGACATGTAAAACAGTCATCCTACATTGTTGGGTGATTGTTGTTCTGTTGAAGAGTCATCTTACATTGTAGGGTGATTGTTGTTCTGTTGAACAGACATCCTACATTGTGGGGAGATTGTTGACATGTAAAACAGTCATCCTACATTGTTGGGTGATTGTTGACATGTTAAATGGTCATCCTACATTGTGGGATGATTGTTGTTCTGTTGAACAGTCATCCTACATTGTGGGGTAAATGTTGTTCTGTTGAACAGTCATCCTTCATTGTGGGGTGATTGTTTTTCTGTTGAACAGTCATCCTACATTGGGGGGTGATTGTTGACATGTAAAACAGTGATCCTACATTGTTGGGTGATTGTTGACATGTTAAATGGTCATACTACATTGTGGGATGATTGTTGTTCTGTTGAACAGTTGGGGTGATTGTTGTTCTGTTGAACAGCCATCCTACATTGTGGGGCGATTGTTGACATGTAAAACAGTCATCCTACATTGTTGGGTGATTGTTGACATGTTGAATGGTCATCCTACATTGTGGGGTGATTGTTGTTCTGTTGAACAGTCATTCTACATTGCGGGGTGATTGTTGTTCTGTTGAACAGTCATCCTACATTGTGGGGTGATTGTTGACATGTAAAACAGTCATCATACATTGAGGGGTGATTGTTGTTCTGTTGAACAGTCACCCTACATTGTGGGGTGATTGTTTCATGTTGAAAAGTCATCCTACATTGTGGGGTGATTGTTGTTCTGTTGAACAGTCATCCTACATTGTGGGGTAATTGTTGTTCTGATAAACAGTCATTCTACATTGTGGGTAATTATTGACATGTTGAACAGCCATCCTACATTGTTGGGTGATTGTCGATAGGTTGGTTGTCATTGTTGGGTGATTGTTGATAGGTTGGTTGTCATTGTTGGGTGATTGTTGATAGGTTTGTTGTCATTGCTGGGTGATTGTTGATAGGTTTGTGGTCATTGTTTGGTGATTGTTGATAGGTTGGTTGTCATTGTTGGGGGATAGTTGATAGGTTGGTTGTCATTGTTGGGCGATTGTTGATAGGTTGGTTGTCCTTGTTGGGTGATTGTTGATAGGTTGGTGGTCATTGTTGGGTGAATGTTGATAGGTGTGTGGTCATTGTTTGGTGATTGTTGATAGGTTAGTCATCATTGTTGGGTGATTGTTGATAGGTTGTTTGTCATTGTTGGGTGATTGTTGATAGGATGGTTGTCATTGTTGGGTGATTGTTGATTGGTTGGTTGTCATTGTTGGGTGATAGTTGATATGTTGGTTGTCATTGTTGGGTGATTGTTGCTAGGTTGGTTGTCATTGTTGGGTGAATGTTGATAGGTTTGTGGTCATTGTTTGGTGATTGTTGCTAGGTTGGTTGTCATTGTTGGGTGATTGGTTATAGGTTGGTGGTCATTGTTGGGGGATTGTTGATAGGTTGGTGGTCATTGTTGGGGGATTGTTGATAGGTTGGTGGTCATTGTTGGGGGATTGTTGATAGGTTGGTCATCATTGTTGGGGGATTGTTGATAGGTTGGGTGTCAGTGTTGGGTGATTGTTGATAGGTTGGTCATCGTTGTTGGGTGATTGTTGATAGGTTGGTCATCGTTGTTGGGTGATTGTTGATAGGTTGGTCATCATTGTTGGGAGATTGTTGATAGGTTGGTTGTCATTGTTGGGCGATTGTTGATAGGTTGGTTGTCATTGTTGGGGGATAGTTGATAGGTTGGTTGTCATTGTTGGGTGAGTGTCATTGTTGGGTGATTGTTGATAGGGTGGTCGTCATTGTTGGGTGATTAGTTGTCATTGTTTGGTGATTGTTGATAGGTTGGTTGTCATTGTTGGGTGATTGTTGATAGGTTGGTCGTCATTGTTGGGTGAATGTTGATAGGTTTGTGGTCATTGTTTGGTGATTGTTGATAGGTTGGTGGTCATTGTTGGGTGATTGTTGATAGGTTGGTTGTCATTGTTGGGTGATAGTTGATAGGTTGGTTGTCATTGTTGGGTGATTGTTGATAGGTTGGTTGTCATTGTTGGGTGATAGTTGATAGGTTGGTTGTCATTGTTGGGTGATTGTTGATAGGTTGGTCGTCATTGTTGGGTGATTAGTTGTTATTGTTGGATGATTGTTGGCCAATGGCAAACCTAAATGGTGAATTATGATGGCTCTCATCATGACAGGCATCAGGGTCGGAACCAGAAGGGGTCAAATAGGCTTAAATGTTAACAATCTTTTTCTTCAGACCTAGCCACCTAGAATCAAATACAGTTATACTCTTCATGGATGAAAATTAAGTTTCTAAGATACTTTATCAAGCTTGTGACCTTCAATAACCATGGGTCACCTATTCTCCCGGGGCAGTTGTAAAGTTTACAATGGTTTAAACCGAGTGATGCTTTGATCCATAAAATGTAATGCTATCTATATCCTGTATTATAAATTTGTTATAAAGTTTAGATATTGACCCATTTTAAAATGGATTTGCATTGACTACAGGTGTGCAATACAGGTCCAGTTTGTTAAGACATGTAACCCACCTTTGTTCTAGCTGATACATCAGGGCTGACAATAGAGACCATTGGAATCCTTGGAAATGCCATCAACGTAGATACAACTGTCAACAACACTGGTGATGCAAATAGACTACAGCAAAGGAGCGAGGTATTGTTGGGTGAATTATGTCTGGCCTTCCATGGTGAGAGTTGAGGTGAGATCCTGTAGTCATCATGGCATAGAATTTACAAAGAGGTTGATTCCTCTCTCCGGTCACTGCTGCACCAACCTTTGTTTGGACAGGCACTACAGTGTCTACATGATGTGGTAATAACATTCAAGTTAGGTAGTACTATGAAAGTCAGATGTCACTGAAAAGTACATCTCCAACACAAACATGTGAAGATATTAGCCAGTTCTTGATAAGAACCTCTGGTTATATTGTCAGATTGTATTGATTGTAGGATTTGTAAATCTATGTGACGTACCTTGGCTTTTTGTAGTAAGATAGGTTACTATATCAAATGTTGTATGTTATAATGTTGTAAGATAGATCTCGGTTGATGACAGAGGTATTGTCGGGGAACATCATTTCTGTAACATACTTACAAACATGACTTTTGTGTCGCCTGCGAAAAGCTGGTGACACATAGGTATTGCTTTGTCGGCGGCGGCGGCGTCGTCCAAACAGAGGTTTTCGTGCAATAACTTGAGTTTCCTTGCGCCGATCAAACTCAAACTTCATGCAGTGCTTCCTTACCAAAAGTGCTTGCTTGGGATTGCTTTTCAGGTCTAAAGGTCAAAGGTCAAGGTCACTTACTATAAATAGAAAATCTGTTTTCGTGCGATAACTTGAGTTTCCTTTGGCCGATCAAACTCAAACTTCATGCAGTGCTTCCTTACCAAAAGTGCTTGCTTTGGATTGCTTTTCAGGTCCGAAGGTCAAAGGTCAAGGTCACTGTTACTATAAATAGAAACTTCACTAAAACTGTATACTGGACGGCTTCGATCTACCACTTGACCCACCGTGTATACCTCTGAAATGCCGTCTTACTCCAAATGTTATTGACAACACTAGCTGTTTAACATCATAATCCACAAGTTTATTCATTTATTTATGGGAAACCATCTGACAAATCATACAAATTAAACTTGGAATTGAGACAATGAGTATCCATAGCAATTCCTTAAAACTTCCAGGAATAACAGATTATATAACAAAATGATGTCATCCGAAAACATTATCTATGATTATTGCTTACTTTTAACATTATTTCTTGAAATGAAAAGTGTATCTATTTCTTCGTAATCTCCCAGCTTCCTGCGCAGGTGACACATCCACTTCTGTGGAATTCTTGTTGTCATAAAGGGTTGATGTCAATTAATAACAAGGTTTACTGTCACAATCCAAAATGCTAATTGTCCTTTGTTTAAAAATGTTGTTCACACTACTTCTCCAAAAGTTCTGCATGGGCCAGACTTTGAATCATACTTGATACATGTAACACTTGCATTGAGATGAATTATTGTGAATAAAGTTTATAAGTTGGAGTTACCTCCCCATTTATGAAGTTATGCCCTTTCGTTTAAAATGTTCTGGAAAGAACTATTTCTATAGTTCTTGGTGCAGGCAGGGGTTTATATGTGTGCCATTCTGACGACACTTAAGTTTAATCCTGTACAATAACTGATTTAAATGCAATCTTAACTCCACTCATACATATGTATCAAATCAAATTTTTATTTAAGCATTTCCTTTGACAGATACGTGAGTCGTTGACCCAGTCCCTACTTCATGCCGAAATCACACCAAACTTTGATGTGGTCAACCAGGTTGTCCAAGTACTGGACAGTCTAGTCAAGGTCAAGGAGGAGGTCACAGAGAAACAGCAGGTACAGGATTGATTGTTATGTACTTCAATGTAACAGATGTATTTCACACTAATGTTCAGTTAAGTTACAAAGAACAATCTGGTCACTTGCTACTGTCTCAGCTAGAGGAACTGACAGAGGTGAACCATCTAGTCACTTGTTACAGACTCAGCTAGGGACACTGACAGAGGTGAACCATCTAGTCACTTGTTACTGACTCAGCTAGAGTTATGTCACAGTGGTGAACCAACTGGTCACTTGTTACTGACTCACTCAGCTAGAGTTATGTCACAGTGGTGAACCATCAATTCACTTGTTACAGTCTCAGCTAGAGTTATGTCACAGTGTTGAACCAACTGGTCATTTGTTACTGACTCAGCTAGAGTTATGTCACAGTGGTGAACCATTAAGTCACCTGTTACAGTCTCAGCTAGAGTTATGTCACAGTGGTGAACCATCAAGTCACTTGTTACAGTCTCAGCTAGAGTTATGTCACAGTGTTGAACCAACTGGTCACGTGTTACAGTCTCAGCTAGAGTTATGTCACAGTGGTGAACCATGAAGTCACCTGTTACAGTCTCAGCTAGAGTAAGGTCACAGTGGTGAACCATTAAGTCACCTGTTACAGTCTCAGCTAGAGTTATGTCACAGTGGTGAACCATCTAGTCACCTGTTACAGTCTCAGCTAGAGGCTAGAGTGATGATACTTTGCATGTAGCCTAATGGAATAACTATCTATTGAGTAATTCAAAGGATGACATTGACCTACTTTCCAAGTTAAAAATTTGTTTAATTCAGAGTAAGGAACTGCTAATGATCAGTTGGTTTAGGGTCATGATATTTAATGCAGTATGTTTGGATGAAGGAAAAGCAAGTCTGTTGAAATGCATGATTTTGACCATCTTAAACTTTCAAGTTCACATTTGCCCATTGTGTTAAAATCTTTAAGTGGCTTCTTCTGAATAGCAAAGTGGCATAGGGTCAGTCAATATATTTGGAATGATGGACTTTCTTGTTTGTTCAAATATATGTGGCCTTATCCATCCAACCTTGAATGTCACAGGATCAAATAAAATCAGTTAAAATCTTCCCCAGAAGATCAATAAAGAAGTCGAGTGAATAATATTTAGCCTGTAATGTTACATCTACATGACAAGTTTGTTTAAATATGTTTGACCTCGACTCAATTTCAATGTGACATATATGTGTTTGCATTGAATAAGAGGATAACCAAAACTGGTTGTTAATTACCATCAAATGCGTGACAATCTTTCTGCATTGGCGTTATCTCGGCCACCACGATGATACTCGATGGTATAATGAAACTGCTGGAGAGCAATAGCCCACCTCAGAAGTCTCTGCATTGTTGTTTTGTTCTGTCCAGCCGTTTCAACTGGTTGTGGTCAGTTCGAATGGTGAACTTTACCCTACTTACATGACAGGCAAACGATTCAACACTCCACACGATGGCAGAATAGTTCTGTTCTCGTGGTAATAACTTCCTACTGATGTAAGCATTCGGGTGTTCCTCGCTGTTAATAACCTGACCAGCTCCAATGGCTATACATTGCTGGCATCAGTCTGTATTGTGAACAGTTCTCAGAAATCCGGATTCGCGATTACTGGTGCCTTGGTCATTGCGTCCTTAAGATTATTGAATGCAGCCGTGCTACCATCTGTCCAGCGAAGTTGCCTTGGATAATCTGTATTGTGAACGGTATTGTGATGGTTGGCTATTCAATTAAATCACCCTGCGTCCGCTGTCCGTCCGTCGTCCGTCCTTAGATAATTCTTGTTATCGCTATTTCTTATGAAGTACCAGAGGGATCTTTCTCAAATTTTATACGTAGGTTCCCCTTGGTCCTTAGCTGTGCAGGGCAACTTTTGAGACTGATCGGATAAACAACATGGCCCACAGGCAGCCATCTTGGATTTTGATAATGAAAGTTTGTGATCGCTTTTTCTCAAGAAGTACCAGGGCAGCCATCTTGAATTTTGATAGTGAAAGTTCGTTATCGCTATTTCTCAAGAAGTGCCAGAGGGATCTTTCTCAAATTTTATACGTAGGTTCCCCTTGGACCAAAGCTGTGCAGGTCAACTTTTGAGACTGATCAGTTAAACAACATGGCAGACAGGCAGCCATCTTGGATTTTGATAGTGAAAGTTTGTTATCGCTATTTCTCGGGAAGTACCAGAGGAATCTTTCTCAAATTTTATATCTAGGTTCCCCTTGATCTCTCGTTGTGCATGTTATATTTTGAGACTGATCATAAAAACAAAATGGATTAAAAGAAGAACTAAACAGATCTTTCTCATATTGCAATAATCGATTCTATTTCTTTCACATTAAGTACTGTACTAGTAAATATGTGAAATGACAAACTCACTTGGAAGGTTGGCTTTCATACACATTAGTATTAAGTTTAGATCAAAAGTTACCTCAAGGTGCATTTACTGTTAACAAGACTCGATCAAACAGATTAGAGAAAAGAAGAGAAAAAGATCGAACTGACAAAGCACTAATGAAGATGGTACAAAGGTGGGCGCCAAGATCCCTCTGGGATCTCTTGTTTTGTTTGTGGGAGAGGAAAATCCACCATAGCTAGACAGTACAGCTCCTCCTAACCAAATTGACACTTTGGGGGTTTAACTGTAAGCCCACTGTCTCTTAGTCGGTCCAGGACAGCCTGGACATGTAATGGGTGATCTTGCCATGTACAGTTGTGGGATCACATAACGTTACACCATGTGCGGTGTGTGAACGATGTGTGCACGATGTGCGAATAATAAAAAGTTGGACGATCATTGCTTTCGCACATTTGTGTGCACGATGGACGAACGTTGTGCGATAACAATCGTGGTTGGTGTAAATTGAGGAATGCCTTAACAATATATACGGTTTTGTGTTTAATCATATAAACTTGATATCTACGTATGTTTCTATATTCTACCTACATCTGTAAGCTTATCTTTATGTCTATAAAATTAGAAATTGTGTTTTCGGTATTTTTTAAACGACCTTAATCGACACATGTAAGGTGAAGGGGAGCTATAGGCAAACCGAATGCAAATAACAAATACTAAACGTCCAGTTGTGTTTTCATTACAGTCATACGGTATTGCATATCAGCTCTATGTGTCAGGTACAGGCCAGGTAAAACTCTGGTCACTCATCAAATTGTTATTTACCTGTTCTGTTGCCGAGGAGCCAAACTCATTCTTGACAGTCTAACGGTCACTGTATACTGTGTAACACAATGTAAAATGTACATAATCTAAATTATAGTGATGAGAGAGTTACAGTAATATATACTGTGTACATTATTGCATACGAGCCCTTCCGTATTGTTTTTCATTCCGTAAGATTGAACTACAAATTGTACTGTAAAACTGTACATATAATCTTTATTACTGTGATGAGATATTACAGTAATACATACAGTTTTAATTATTTCATACGAGCTTTCCTTATTTTTTTCATTTCCTAATATTGAACTACAAATTGTACTCAATCTCACAACGGGGCGATTGATCATTAAACCTGGACGGTGTGTGAACGATGTATGCACGGTGTGCGCACGCTATTTTTGGGGCGTTGTGCGGTCACACAACTGTATCACTATATGCCACAATGTCATCAAAGAAGGCGATGACATTTTGTACCCTCGCCAATACTTTGTCCATCATCCGTGCGAATGTCGCAGGTGCTGTTTTCATCCAAAAAGGCATTACCTTGAATTGGTATTGACCAAATTCTGTCACGAATGCGGACTTCTCTTGACAATCTTGCGATAGAGGTATCTGCCAATATCCTTTTGCTAAATCCATGGTACTGAGGTGTTTTGCTGTGCCTACCTTCTCAAACATCTCAGGAGTTGGATACCCATCACACACAGTCACGCCATTGAGCTTTCTATAATCCACACAGAGCCGTGTCGTGATATCTTTCTTGTCCACCATTATGATCGGAGATGAGTAAGGGCTTGATGATGGTGTGATGTAACCACGCTCCAACATATCATCCAGCATTGTTTTCACTTCCTGTTTCTTAGCCTGTGGAATTCTATAAGGCTGCTGTCTGATAGGTTTCTCAGGGTTAGGATTGATGACGTCATTGTAGTCCTCACAAAGCTGACGTACCTCCTGGCGTTGTGATTTGTCCAAAGTCTTAATATCCATTATGTCCTCCAATGTTGTGTTGAAACCATTGAAGTCCGGATCAGCGAGATCACTGGACAAACATATGACATGTTGAGCAGCTCTGTTGTATTTACACAACAGATTGATATGGTAAACGCTTACAACGTCCACCAACATTAACCTCATAGTTAACGTCACTGACTTTCCTTATCACTTGGTTAAGTCCTTTCCATTATGCCACCATTTTTGAACTGTCAGACGGCAGTAATAACAGAACTTCGTCACCAGGTCTAAGCTCCCGTGTAGTGGCGTTCCTGTCGTACCACTGTTTTGTCTTCTGCTGTTTGATGGTCAGGTTTTCACGTACCGTATCTGTGATAATTTTGAGCCTTTCTCGCATTTGAACAATATGATCAATTACAGATTTCTTAACTTCGCCTTCTCCTGCCATGGCTTGCTCTAAAATCTGTAATGGTCCCCTTACTGGCCAACCATAAAGCATTTTGAATGGAGAGAATTCTGTCTCCTCATGTGGTACCTGTATATGCGAACAATGCATATCCCATGCCTCTTCATTTGATGTGCAGAGTTTTTTTTAACTCAGCTTTGAGAGTTGCATTAAATCTCTCTACTTTCCCGTTAGCTTGTGGATGATTGATAGGGGGATGTTGTTATACCTTTGAACCCCAGCACTTGGTAGAGTTCCTGTAGCATTTTTGAGGTGAAGTTCATGCCTTGATCCGTAAGGATAGTTCGAGGCACTCCAACCCTGCTGAATAGTTCTACCAGTGTGTCAGCAACAGTTTTGGCATCTACATTTTTTTAACACAAATACCTCGGGGTATCTCGTTGCATCATCCATTATAGATAGTGGGAATAAA